AACCTGCAGCATCACTGGGAGGCATGCTGTTGCCCCAGGGCTTCTGCAAAGGCAGTGCATAACCCCACTGTCCCCAGAACAGCACAGCGCACAGGAGACAGACGCAGCAGTCTTAAACTAAACACGCAGGCAACAGGCCACATGCAGGAATCGCACAGGCTGCATCTGAAAGCCAACCGCTTACCGAAAGCAAATCTGTACTTCTGTGTGAAAGAATCTTTGGGTGGAATTTGGGCTTGTGCATTCCATCTGAAAAATGGAAACATGCAACAGAATGTCAATAGTAATTATTAAGATGTTGCATTTATACAGATCTTTTAGTCTCTAGATGACAAGCTACTTTAGAAAATAGGCAAGTATCACTGATGGCAACTTTGTGTCAAAGGCAACAATTAATTGAAAATTAGACAAAAAACAGTGTAAAGACACCTCTGATCCAATCATCAATGCAGGTAGCTACATTGCAGGCTACTACCATGGACAGAGTTAATAAAACAACTCGCATGAGTAAATATCTCTCATATGTGTTTGCTGAATCTAGGTTTACTTACTTTACATCATTTCCTTTTAACCTCTCCTCTTGTGTAGCCGTTCTGGTTCCTTGCCCATACAATATTAAACAACTGCTAATGTTCAAGAGATACTAATAACATACCCCCTTCAAAGAAAAAGAAAAGGTGGAGTACTTGCCTCTTTCAGTCTTTTGATGATATACACTATGTTGTTCCTCTGACCTTTGTAGACATCCGCAAAAGTACCTTCACAAATTCGGCTCTTGTCACTGAAACCATTTGTGGCATTAGTAACTTCCTTCTGGGTCCACAAAAGACTCCCGCTGGGGAGATCACTCATTGTCTCCTGCTGAGGAGTAGAAGAGCTGCAAGGCTACACATTTGTAGAAGAAACAAGTTTATCTCATGAAAATTCATATGCTTTTTCCTTCTTTCAGCTGTCATATTTTCTTTTCCATGATTTAAGCAATCACTGTGATTGTTGAAAGGAACCACGAAAGGTACTGTGCAATGACTCATTAGGGTTTCCCTTTGTAATACCTGTCTTGATGTGTTTTGCTGATGTAAAAATTTTGCATAGTAGAAGAGACTTGAAAGCAGGTGCCAATTTGCATTTCCACCTTTCCCAGAAAACAGACTTGGTTTTGTTTAAAAGTCCATATATTTATTTGAAGTGATGTTAGTGTAAGTTACAAAAATATTAATCTGTATGTCTGGGGCATATATTAAGAAACAGTTGGATCAGAAAGTAAGGTCTCTCATAATCTATTGGGTAAGAACTTCACATCTACTTCTGAAGCGTCTGGTTTCAGTTGCACAGTAATTTGTGGCTCCCAGTGTGGCAAGGCCTAATGCCAATTGTTATTGCAGTTCCACTGTAGCCTAATCACGCAGCTTTCACAACCTTAATGTGCTCCAGACTTGAGAAAACAAAACATTAACTCCCTCTCAAGAAACTCTGAAACTACTGCATTCTTTGTAGCAATCTTCTCTCCCAGCTGGTACTCTTGAACCATGTTATTTTGGAAGAGTTTAAATTCTTAAAACACAATCTTCTTTAAAAAAACTCGAACAAAATAAACCAAAGAAAACAGGCCAAGACAGAACCATGATGGGACCAGCGTGTGCACGTGGATCTGGGAAACACTCTGAGAACTCACAGGACAGATCTAGCTAGAGCGTCTTAAAGACAAGAGAGCTATAGGGAGGTAGGAACAGGAGACTGTGTGATGAAATCATTAGGAACATGAGAAAAACTTTTCACAGTGAGACAGTTAAGCACTGGAACAGGGGGTTAGAGAGGTGATGGAACCTCCATCCTTGGAGATTTTCAGTCATCACTACACAAGGCTCTGGGCAACCTGACTTAAATTTGATACTAGCCCAGTTTTGAGCAGAAACCACATTTTAAGTATAAAATTAAACTAAAAGAAGTATGCCATTCTGACTAGTCAGTGGTACATATTGCACTGTCCTATGATCACACCAGAAATGTTAAGTCCTCTGTAAAATCTATACTGGAAATGTCTTCAAAATTAATTGCTATTTGTGGGCATGTTATCCATGCTGAGCTATGCAGTATGCAATATTGTTAATTTTTTCCCTCACTGGTCCTCCACTGGCAAAAAAAGTGATGTAAACTGTAAGTAATCTAACTGAAGCATTAGTATTCTATTCAGTCCAAACAAATTGTAATCAAGCCCCACTTTTTCACTAGATATATATTTTATACAAGTAGAGGGATAAACTTTAATTGAAAAAACACAGAATGTCATAAAGACAATTTTCATTGTTGTAATCAGTGAGTACTACAGGGATTTACCTTCACACTTGATGGAACAGGACAATTTGACTGTAAGGATTTCAAAAGGTCTCTTGGGGGAGGTGGTGGAGAAGGGAGCGAATACAAGGCTCCTTCAGAAACAGCACCTGAAATTGAAATAACAGCATTGAAAATATACCTTATTTTTATAATTCCACAGCCTGTGACTAATTATAAAGGCCTGGGGTATTTTATTGAATTTCCTGAACAAAAATAATCTGTGAGAAGCTGTCAAAATGTGAAATACTGTGTGAAGATATGGAGCTGTTTTCCTGGTTCCTCTTTGCAAGATGACTACGCAGATGTCTCCAGTCCTGGCTCAGGGACATAGAGCTTCCTATGTCCATACTATCGGTCAGATGCTCTCCTCAGTACGTCCTGTGATTCTGCTCCCTCCCTTTCCCAGGCAGAGGGGCCTGCTGACCTGTGCACGGCTGTCTTCTGGCCTGGATTTATTTTGCATGGAGAGAGAGAGATGAAGCAGGGAAAGTATGCACTGATCTAGTCTTAGCATGGAGCCAGGATGGGACTGGGGTGTTCACAGAGACCTGGGAAACGTCTTGAGATCCCACAGGATAGATATAGCCAGCATCTCTCAAGGCCAAGAGAGCTACAGGAAGGAGGAACAGGAGGCTGTGTGCTAAAGTTAGGAATAAACAGCTCAGGAGACAACAGTGCTAGGAAAAAGGCAAATATTCAAATGTGACCATTTTGAAGAGCAATCTATCAATTATACTATACTGAAAGCGAATGGGAAGCAGTCTTGTCTATATGGTCATTTCAGTGTTAGAGCAAATTCAGAATCTATTACTTCACTTACTACCTGCTGGTGATGCTCCCAGATGTGAAGAGTCTGGTGATGGCAACAGACTTATCTCATTTTCTCTCTCTCTATTTTTGTTTTCTGTGGGAGTTAAAGATATGTTCTCCTGTTTAGGCGGCTCTACCAGCTCTTCTTTTTCAGAGCTGGTAATATTAGAGGCTGATGTCCCTTCAAAAGAGAACAAAGGAAATATAAAGATTACCAGGGAAAATAGAGTCTGACTTCAATTAGTTATCAGGAAATAATCCTAGTCAGGAAAACAGGCTGTAAATTAACATGAACATTAAAATAAACATTCAAGCAATTTTTTGTTAAATTGCTGCAATACTATTGGTATTTAAATTCAGACCATATTCATGACATTAACTACTACTGAAAATTAATAAGAAGTGATAGCTTCAAACAAGTGATGACTATGCAAAAGATATACAGTCTCTTATGATAACAAATTAGCAATAACAGTATATTTATTTTGTCATTTTCTATATAGCACCCTTCAGCCAGTGATCGCAAATCACAAATATCTCCCAGCCTAAAGAAGGCATCTAGTTCTTTTTTAATTGTCATGGGACTGAGAGGAAGTTTGACAGAATTGTGCTGGTTTTAGTCAGTTAAATATTTTAGGACTATTTTGAATTGTATGGTTTTAGTGTCATGACCATGCTCATTCTCAGAAAGCACTTTCCTATATAGAACTATTTGCAATAAAGAATCATACTTTTACTTCTGAACAGAAAGAATCAAACTGGAGACAATCTAGGGAAAACATAAAAATGGTCAAAGGTCAAGACGTACTGATATATAAGGAAAAATTAAAGGCCAAATTATTGATTCACTACAGCTCTAAAATATCCTATGTTGTATACAGCTTGGCAAAATCTCAGAATCAGGCTGAAAAAGCAACTTGAAGTCTGGTTAAAAGAAGTACAAAGATGCTTTCAGCATACAGGGACTCAGAAAGTATGTACATCTTAGAAGGAATTACTAAAGTTAGATTAGGCTACGGTTAGGATGGGGAAAAAAAAATTCAAGATACTGTGATATACAAGGCTGTCAAAATCTCCTGGAGAAGCAGTTGTATTCTTATGCATGAATGCGTTTAAAACTGAGGTTGAAAAGGAGCTTGGCAAGGCCTGGTCTGCACTGGGGGTGACATAAGGACTTTCTGCTGCCTGGTAACAACATTTTCCTGGTTGTAGTTCTAAACTTTTGTTTCTACCTGGCACCTTTTATCAGCAACATGTTTAGCATTTTCTTAAAAATCAAAAATAATGTTTTATTTTTATATAAAAGAAAATAAGCATGAGTATTAATACAAGGTTTTTTTGTCACGCTGTTTTATCAGCTTTGTATCTTAAGCATGGTGGTGATCTTGGAACCAAAAGCCACAGGCCTCTGTTTGCATTTCAAATCAGATAATAGCTTTTTGTTCTTTTTTTGTACAAAGAAAGCATTGGGAGCATCTGAAACAAGCAGGAAGCGGTATGTTTTGTTTATAATCTGTGCTCCTTATAATAAACCACGATTCTGTAGAACCGTTTAAGAGAAGACAAGCTATGACAGTTTCAGTGTACTAAGGTTTGAAGAGTAGGAGTATATGAAAAGCAATAATGGTAGAAGCGGGCATGTTCATGTTAGGCAAGTTTTTCCCTTGACCTCTGTTTGGGGTTTGTATCCACTTTCTTCAATGTCACCCCTGAATGCAGGTTTGAATGAAACTAGGTCTTACAATTAAAACTCAGAAGAATCAGGCATGTTTCTTTATTACTGTGTCAGAATGCTATGAAATCCCAAATTTTACAGGTTTTTGAAATCAACTATCGAACAGTCTGCAGGCCTTTAGTCAAAACTGACAGTCCTTGTATTCTGCAGTTGTTGGCTTTTCCCTCCTGTACTTTAACCTAGAAGTCTCTACAATTAGAATCACTTCCCTCCTTCAACCTATTTTTCAGGGGGTTTCATGAATTTTGCAACTTCCTGCACATCAGACAAACAGGTCACTACTGAAGCTAAAGAACTGACATAAGAAAAAAATTATTATGGACATTCAGAAGTGGGACTAGAGTAGCGCAAGAAATTGTTGAAGGGAGGTAGAACTCTCCTGGAAGTAATCTGCCAGCAAAACATCTACCTGTGTGTTGTGTCTGATCCCTTTAAGTCAGAATGAATAGAATTATGGTGATGTAAGGACCACTTAGTTTTTTAAAGCGCCCAATAGAACAAGCAATGTATTCTCCATATCTGCGCAAGGGGAATCACCTGAGTAAGCATATTCAGATATAGATAAAAAAGCAGAAATAGAGGGTAAAGACTTCAAAGATTTGTCTAAACCTAAAAAGATCCTGCTAGAAATCACTTCTGCTTATGATTAAGCACACAGTGGAATGCCTGTGTTGGGTTAATTCGAGAAAAAATTAACTACTTCCACATGGCAGAACAACAAAATAATCCAGACTTTCTGCGACTTAAGTAAACATGAAATTTTGCTATGGACTTCAATATAAAAGACACCTATAAGAAGTTTTTTTAAAAGATCATTTCATTGTAGTTTTCCAATTTATTGCATTTGAATTGATCTGGGGCAAAAATTAATATTGATCATCCAGAAACATAAATAAGAATTGATCACTCCACAGGATTTGTCTCTTCCATCCTCTTTTAAACTCTCTTTATCTAGCCTTCTGTCCTGGTTTCAGCTGGGATAGAGTCAATTTTCTTCCTAGTAGCTGGTATAGTGCTGTGTTTTGGATTTAGCATGAGAAAAATGTTGATCATGAGAATGTTGGGCATCAGTCAGCGGGTGGTGAGCAATTGCATCATGCATCACTTGCTTTGTATATTCTTTTATCATTAATATTATTTTATCTTCCTTTGGTGTCCTATTAAACTGTCTTTTATCTCAACCCACAGGTTTTACTTTTTTTTTCCCCAGTTCTCTCCCCCATCCCACTGGGGTGGGGGAGGAGGGTGAGCGAGCAGCTGTGGGGTGCTTAATTGCTGACTGGGGTTAAACCACGACAGTCCCCAGAAAAGGGGAAGATGGAGGAAGGTGTCTCCCCCATAGGCTGGCTCTCCAAGGAGAAAAAGTAAGAAGTGTAATTCGTTGGCCAGTTTGGGTCAGCTGTCAGGTATGTTAGATCTATTACATCAGTTCAGTGTCTTAATGAGCTGAATTCAGTATGTCCATTTCTTGCCATGATCTCTTAATATTTACTTTCCCTATTTACTATCTAGCCTGCAGAAATCATTATAAAGAGCCCTGTTTACTTGCATCAGCCAACTACAATTTTTAGAAACCAAGTTTTTTCTTAGAAATCACAAAGCGTACTCCTCCAGCCTGGAGGAAGTTGATTGCGTTTTATTTTTAACAGGGGAAAAAACCTCAGTTTTTCCAGCTTGTAGCAAGGGAAGTCCAAAAAGTCTCAGAAATGTTTTTGAGAAAGCTCAAAAAAAAAAAAAAAAAAAAGGTAAATCACAGAAGCACAAGAGAGAGCAGGTAATCCCCTCTTGTAGCACGAGGCTGAAGTCAGGTGCATATTGCGCAAGCTACAGTGATACTGACATACCAGTTAAAAGCAAACCAGTCAGACAAACAGAAGGGTGATGAATGTTTCTGTGCAGTGATGATGATTATTTTCGTCTGTGTTGTATCTTTATTTTTAATGGCGATGTTGCTGGAAGCTGCTCTTGGGTTGGAATCCTGATTCTTTGCATTCTACATGATCAGAGAGATCCAGGGGGTCGTTTTACTGAAGGTGCTATACATCAGATTGAATCCAACAATGTTGTGGTTTGCAAGCAATAGCTCTCTGAAATTAAATACATGAAGCTTCTCTTAGAGTGATTCACCACTCCAATGTGCTGAACTAATCTCAGTTTGAAATCTACTCCTGGTCTTGTTCTAAAGGCCTGCAAGAAAAGAGAAAACCCTCTACCTTGGGGTGAAAGCAGCAGCATCTCAGTTGTTATAACAAGTAATTTTTCTAAGCTCTTTGAACTCAGCTTTTGCAAAAATGGTGAAATTAACCCACATGGGAAAGAAAAGGTATCATACTTAACTGAACAAATTCAGCCTTTTCCATGACAGATAAAAATTATGTTGAAAATTGTTGCTGCTATTATGTAGTGGTAAAAACATTCAGTAATTTTTTAATTAATTTTTTTTTTTATTAAATCACAAGGCGTAAAATGGGATTACAGAAATGTCAATGAACTCCGTATAGGAATACACTGAAATAAGCCAGCTGTAAACAAAGGTGGGCCCCAGAACGCACTCTGACAGGGAAGGAAGGCAAGGACTGTAACTAATTAGAGTTTAAGGTGTGGTAGGTTACACTGTGTTATATAAGAGCACCCAGAAACTCTTTATGGACTACAAATCAACTGTGTTAAGTACTGAACAGCCACAGAGCAAAAGTGCCATCACATCATGGAAGTCACCCTCTACTCCAGAGTATCCATAAAAATACCATTATCGGGGAGCCAGGCTTATTGCATTGGTGATATCTAGATCACATTTATTCAATGTATAAATTTAAAAAAAAAAAAAAAAAAAAGATTTTGTTTTCAATCCTGTCCACTCAGACTGGACCCTCAAAGTCACAGTTACTGTGACTAAATTAACAATTGGATTACTAATACACAAACTGAAACAGATTCAAATTCACTTTCCCGTAGCTTGCTTTGCTTTGCTGAGGAATGCAGAGTAAGAATTGTTACAGTCTCCTAAGCTGAATGCTGTGACTGGATTCAGTCAGAAAGTGGATCTGCTGAATCAAAAGGCTGCATATGGGTGATGCCAAAACCGGTTATATTAACCTAGCAATGCTCTCGTTAGGGTCTGTGGTTATTGTGTTTGATGTACTAAGACAGAATTTGCTTGAAGGTTGCTTGTCCTGCGGTACTTAATATTCCTTTTTTTAAAAAAAGAAAATAGAAATTTATAATACCATTGTTAAAGATTTTTTTCTGCCATACCAAAATGAAGGTTAAAAGTCATGCTAATGCCAGGAAACTACAGAGAAACAGCAGTGCTACACAAAGAAATGCTGTGGCAAGAAACCCATGATGCATTATTGGACTTCCCACGAAAAATGCCTCTAGCTGCTGCGCGGCGAATGCCAGCGGCACCTCTGATGGCTGGCGGCCCTGCCCTGTGGAGGCAGGCTGCTGTTGTGCAACGGCCGCTCATGATGTAACTCAAAACCACCCATGTCACCGACAGTTTCCCTGACACAAAATGTGAGAAGCAGATGGTGCTCCTGCACATTTTCCACGTGTGGAAGCATACGCCCTCGTAAGCTTTGAGCGTTTCCCATATGCACCTGGACAGTACTGCTCTAAGCAATTTTTGCCACATAACAAAAATCTGTAATTTTTCTTTCTAGTAATTCTCTATGGGGAACTGGCAAAATTCATATAAACATCTGATTTCCAGAAAGTGTGAAAAGGGCACTCCCAACTTTTTGGGGCAACTCAATACAGAAAGACACTATGTTGTCCAGGGGTCAACAGATTTCGTGGTATAATTGGATTGAGGTACAATTTGGCTTATGAAACTGGACAGCTGCAATTTAAACATAATTTTCAATGGAGAAAAATGGAAAGGAAAATTATATTTAAAAGTGTTGTGATTTCTATAAGACAACTGTTTACCTTAACTAGACACACTGAGTTCAAACTCTAATCATCCTACCTCAAAAAGACAAATCTGAAATAGAGCAAACTGGGGATAGGTGAGAAGAATTACATGCAAAGAGTTAGAAAAGACTACAGTTGCTTAATTTATGGAGGGATCGAGGAGAACATTATGATAGGAATAGAGAAAATATGAAGTGGGATAAAGAAATAGTAATGTAATTAGTCGATAAACCATTTCTCTTTTTCATAACCTTTTTCTTATGGTGCAGGAAAATAGGCTGCATAGCCAAAAGTGATTATACGTTTTTCTACTCTGAGTTTGTTGACAATTAGAGTATAATGACAAAATTTCACAGAGAAACAAGAATGTATGAAAAATTAAAACATCCACAATTAAGCTCTGTTTTGAAACCCTGTCTGATGCATGAAAGTACCACCCCTGGTTCAGAGCACAGCCAATCTCTCTTTGGCACCTCTCGGAGCGTCTAAGATGGCCACTACAAAGGTGGGATGATGAACTAGAGGGACCAGTGATTCCTCCTCTATGTCACCTCTTCCTTTCCCACCACAAATTTTATTTGAGAGAGCAGAAAATCAGAATCAGTGGAGAAATTTTAGAACTTGAGCATGAGACTCCCAGCAAAAAGTTTCTTCAGCTAGCAAGAGAGATTTACTGGATTGGGTCTAGGCGCTCTGAGAAGCAGCACAGACTCCCTGCGGGAGGAAGGGGCAGCTACTCACAGTCCAGAATGACTTGGGCCGCTCGGTAGAGCTGCAGTGCTTGCAGCAGGTCCAGGAGCTGCTGCACTGTCGCCAGCCTCACTCCCCACCACCACATGAGCTCTCTTGTTATGCTGATCCCCGTCTTCTCCATGCACTTGATTTTCCGTAGCTCTGTTTGATCAGTTATCACGTACGAGGCTAGTGGGAGACAACGGATATTTCTGTTTAAAAATTAGAAAAACCAAGCAAGTGCAAGCAGGGAAAGCTAAGGTGCAAGACACACTTTGCTTTTTCATTTACATGCTTTTAAAAGGAAGGATCACAATAAACTAGCTATGTGGACATAAAGAAAATTCAGTTCCCAAAGATATTCCTTTTATTCCTTTGACTATTCTGGAAAAAAATGTTGTTATATCAGAGACCCAAAAAATAAACCCCAGTCACACTTTTCAGCATATTTTCCCCATAATCTTCCTTCACCTTAATACTTTGTACCAAAATAAGTTCAGATTAAATTCCTGGTGCGATTCTCCCAAAATAGGTAACTGAAGTCAGTGGTGAGACTGCACTCCCGCCTACATTACTAAATACCAATATTATGGTAAGCCAAATAGTAACTGAATCATCTGGGTGTTATTTACAGTCAGATAAAGCTATCGGTGAAATGCAGCTATTTTTAAAAGCAGGAGATACCGTGCTAAAGCTGACCCTACCTCATTTGTCCCGTGTCCTGAATGCGCGCAGCGTGCTGGTTACTCCCTCTGTACTTGCCTCGGCTCCCTTACCAACACGTAACCCACCTCCCCTTGTTTAGCTCCCGCGAAATCCGATGCGCCTGGCCACAGTGCAAGCGTTAGAGTTGCAGCCGTGGGCTAGAGGAGGGCGAGGTAACGAGAACACTAACACGACACAGGTGTCCAAGAATGCCCCGCGTTTGGGACAGGGCTATGCCACAGCTTCCCCACCCATCAGCGCCTGCCTGAGGGCAGTGAGAGGCTTTGCCCGCCCTGGGGACAGAGGGCAGAGGGTCTGGGGAGCGAAGCCAGGATGAACTGTGCTGAAACAGCGGTTGTGACACACGGTTACCTTGTCACTCCAGCCTGGGATTTTGTGTAAACTCAGCTGTGCTCATCTGTGGTCTCTGGGGGCTGGTGGAGATACCCACCGAAGGTGCCTGTCTGACTCAGCCCCTCTTGGCTCACCTGCACCTGACGTGCTCCTTGCTTAGCCTGAACGAGAGAGGCTTGGGGGCCAGGGAATGGAAACCGCGTGCGGAAACAAAGATTCCCGACTTCACACCTCAGCTGGCTTTAGAAGGACATTAGACATACAGTTTTACACATCTGAAGAGAGCAGAGATGAATCCCACCCTAGGTCAGCAAGTTTAGCTGGGGTAAGAGTTTACTCAGTAGAGTTAGTGAAGTCTTGAATGAAATTAAATCATGTTAAATAAAGGAAGGTAGGCCAACTAAGAAAAGATTCAGGTTACAATTGTTTGGACTGGGATGCAGAAAAAGAATAAAAAACTCAGGGACTGCATTTTCTATACTTATTAACTGGACACAGCCAGGATCGAGAAAAATAGGGGCAGTAAGTATAAGGGAATATACATGAAGCAAAGGAAGAAAGAAAAAAATAGAACATCTAAGCACATGTGAGGGATGTTGTGAAAACAGGCAAGCAGCGAGAAGTAGCAGAAGATAAAGCGCGAACAGAGGGGGAGTGCGAAAGATAGTGGAGAGCGAGGGGAGGGAGCCAGGCTGCCCGGGAGAAGCCAAGGGAACTCAGAAGTCTGGAATTCCACCTATTAATCAGAGGTTTTGCTTGATCCTTGACCGTGAAAACAGATTGTCACACGGGAATTCCCTGTCTACAGGATGTACTCTTCTGAGCGCTGGGGAATGACTCGGCTGGAGGCCCTGCGTTGGACAGCTGTGTACCTCGCCCCAACCTTGCGCCCTTTGACCACACGTCCTAAACGCACTGCCGCTCCGTGCGCCCCCATCGCCGCCCCGTCCGGCTCGGGGAGCGCCAGCCCTGCTGCCAGCCCACCTGCCCCACCGTCGCCCTCTCACCGAATCGCATCCAGTCGTAGTCACTCAGGCAGTCCATCTTCTGGCAGAAGTCCTCCAGCACCCAGGCAGGCATGCTGTGAATGTACAGAGCCGCGGGGGAGCCCCCTTTCAGGGCCAGGTGCGGCTGCTGCAGGGTCATCGCGTCGCAGTCCCGCTCCGGAGAGTCCTTTGTCCCCGCTGCGGCCATCAGCAGCGTCTACGCATGGTGCACGCCTAGGGCAGGGACTATGGCTACAGGCAGTGACGCTCACCAGTCTCTGCTTCCTCTGTGTGCTGTGGAGGGTTGATTTTCTCGAAAAGCTTCCTCTTCTCAAAGGGGCTGGCCTTGGCAGCCTGTCCCCACCCCGGCCTGACTTGCTCTTTGCTGGGGGAAGAGCCAAGTGTTTCTTGGCAGGGTCAGACCACACTCCACTGCTTCCTGCTCGGGCTGACGTCAGGCCCGGGCCCCAAATGCAAAGCAGATTTTCCTTTTCATGAGCGCTTATTGCTCCAGCCTGGTTGCCAAATTACAAGTTTCACGTGACGGAGGTGAAAGATGCTTTACTGCACGTTACGCACAGCTGGCATTGCCCACAGGCTGTGCAACAGCTGCTCACAGACAAAGCGAGATGTGTGTGGGTCAGGAGCGGTGCCCAGCAGAGCTGGCTTGCCTGCTCAGCCCAGACTTTGGCCGTGTCTCCGGGGCAGTCAGCGAGTGGTTTAGTCACACGTACGACTGTGTGTGTGGTCACCCGTAGCGGGGTGTGTGGGTGTGAGGGTATGTATGCATGGCGGTGTGTGTCTGTGTGTGTGTGTTTGTTTTTTTTTTCAAATGTAGATCCCCCTAAGAGCTACACCAACCATGCTCCCCACTGTGTTGGGTGCTTTGCAACTGGGAATCGAGAAAGTTTCAAAGATCTCACAAGATCTAAGAAAGAAATGTGTACCAACAGAGAGGGCAGTAATAAGCACCACCAGCTAATACTGAGCAGTGATCCTGCTGCCAGTCTGACTGTTGCCAGGATTTTACAATCATTGCAGCATACAGGATTTCACTTGTTATATGTAGTATAGTAGAAGATGCAGGGAGTGAGAAGTAAAAAACGTCAAAAGTGGTCATATGGCCAGGTCTCGCTAATCAAGGATTAGGTTTAAAATATATTCTTAAAGTCAACAATTTTTCTAATTTTTTTTCCTTTTCTTGTATTTAATCTGCTTAAAGATTAAATAAGATAGAAATGTTAAGATAAACATTTCTAATTAATTAATTTGCCAGTGTACATGCTACAAATACAAATTCTGGCAAACCGATCTACTTGGAGAGCCTTATAGCTGTACCTCTGCCATCATGGGACGGTTTGTAACACATAATTGTAACCCACTCCTCTTTCTGTTCTTTTTGTTCATATTTAGCCCTAGGTCCTTTGTATCAATTGCAAATAGTAACACTGTGGCAAGGAAAAGCTGAAAAATTTATATTAATGTAGCTACAAGGTCAAAAGACAGAAAAAAAACTAAACAAAAATATCCAAAGTGTATTATTATTTAAAATATCACAATTCAAAGATTGCCTTGGGACCTAACTGTTTTAGCAGTAGTACTACTTTTTCAACAGTAATAGTTGAATTTATGGTTTTTTCCCCTCTGTTTCCCTGCTTACTGTCCCTCTGACACATACCTAAATTCTGTGTCATGGGAAGATGATCAGGGCATCTCTGAAAGTCACGTAAGATGAGATTGACATTTGTGTTGCAAAGAATTGGATAAAAGCAGGAATAAAGGACACTTCTTTCCCTTGGGTACTGGAAAAAAACTGTGAAACCTTTTGGACTATTTGCCTCATGGGAAAATGAGGGGAAAGAATGCATCTAACTGTGCGTACGGCTTCAGTTTCGCACTAAACATTGTATGTAATAAAAGATTTTACAAGGGAACTGAAATTTACTTTTTCAAACAGAGACTGGAATGATCCTATATTCCTGTTGTTTAGCCTTCACTTTCAAATAATGAGGTACTAGGCAGGACTCTACTGCTGCGTGCTCTCCTTGAGCCCTCAGACACTAAACGAATGACAGAATAATTGGTTATTTCTCTGGTGTTTTTCACCTTCAGCTGTGACCCACCACCTCCCGGAGCAGCGCGTTCCCACCGCACCACACCCAGCAGTGGTGGTCAGTGGGAGCTCTCAGTCTGGTCCTGACCTCTTGCTTGACTTACTGCTGCGACTGCCAAATGAGACAGTGCTATGACTCCGACTGAAAACTATCCACATTTTTAATGTAGTTGTCACAAGTAAATGACAACCTGCACTCATTACTAATCTAGCTGAGTAACTAGTAGGAGGCTCCATGTCCTAGAGCCAGCTGGGGTTTTCTCTAGCCTTTTTTTATTCTGACTCAAAGGAGCACTCCAGAACCGAAGACATATACTTTCTTGCATATGTTGAGCATTTCTCCAGAAGTTTACCTATCTATAACATCTGGTTTTGTTATTTTTTTTAAAACATATTTTATCAATAGGAGTTCTTTAATGACCAAAAATTTCTCATATAGCATTTATGCACCTGCTTTAACAATTCTAATTGAGAAGGCTTTTACGTCAATCACTTCCTTACATCTGTCAGTGCCTTGCACTTTGAATAAATACTCAACCCATAGGTTTGGCTGACGAATGAAAACCAAATGATACCAGAAATGTTATGAGCTATTGCATTCCAATGACAAACAATATGTAATTGAATTGGTTTTATGCTAGAATGCCTCTAAGTAAAAAAACTAAGATACACAGCTGGGCTGATGTAATTACTAGTCCATGGTAGGGTCTTGTGAGCATTTGAGAATTTGACTCTTAAGACTAGCCCAGCTACATGATGGTGTTATTTAACATGCTCACAATCAACTGCCATGTCGGTTAAAAAGACAAGACAGAACCAGCAAGACCTGTAACAGTGCTGTCAGACTGTGGCAAGAGGATCAAATCTAACGTCAGGTGTGACTCCGTGGCCTGTAAAAACAAAACCTTGTCAGCTATTTGTGTGAGATGTTTCTAAGTGCTTCTCATCTTAGAGAGGAAGTTGCTAAGTTTTTAAACCTGATGTATGGAAAAAAAAGGTATTTCGTGATTTGTCAACAGGAAAATCAACACTTAGGTGGTATGCCAGAGCCAAAATTAGCGAAGTAGTTACAGAACTCATATCGCAAGAAAATGTATCCACATTGCAAGAAAACAGCTGGGGGAGGAATGGGGGAGGCAGCTGCGTGAACAAGGTTCTGCATCGGACTTTGTGTTCAGTCCCTTCCTCTCCCAGACTTCTTGCATAACTTTGGAAAACTCAATTTCATCTGCAAAATGGAAGCAGAATTTCCTTTGTTATCTTGTCTAGGGAAGTATAAGATTTCAAGCATGGATTGCCTCTTGCTATACATTAAGCAAGAGGCAATCATTATTTTAAAAACAAAGTACTTCCTACTCTTAGCGGCTGTACAAAGAGTAGTCAGCTACTCTTGGCAGAATGAAGTGATAGTATAAAGTTGTGAAGCTAGATCCAAATAATGTACTTTGGTACTAAAAATCAGACGCTACAGTGCCTAACTTCGAGACAGCTGCCTGGTGTGGAATCCAAAAGTCCCCGTCTGGCCTCTGTTCTGCCAGTGGGGCGTTTGCCACCTCAGGAGGGGATTGAGAGCAGCTGGCCTGCTGTGCACGGACAGCATCTGTGCTCAAACAAAATCCTACAGCTAAAGAACTGAAGCGGGGTTTGTAAAATTCCTGTCCTAGGACTCACATACCTCAAGGATTCAGGGAAATGCCACCTTCTACTTGGGATTCTGTGGGTAAACGCACACAGTCTTCCAAAGAATTAAGTAAGTTACACTTTTAAAACACAAATTGATGAGCGAAAGGTGGTAGACTGTGTAGATATGTGACTGCAGATGACGGCACATAGTTGAAGGATGGTCTCTATCCTGACAATTGTTTCTGCATTTTTATGCAATTTAAATTGAACAGTCATTGAGGAACAATCCCACACTCCCTGCTTTGGGTGTACCCTCATCAGTCAGGCTGTCCAGGGACTGATGGATCTTTGGTTCCTTTCCACACAGTAACAAACCACCCTCAAGTCAATCTTGGAAAGAGCGGACAGAAAACGTCCCTTAGAAAATGGGCTGAAGCACAGCAAATTAACACAAAGCATCCACAACTAATTGGTGCCTATCAGGAGCTGCTCTTTAGCTAAGGACTTAAGTTGCCTTGGAATCCAGCAGATGTAACTAAAAGTTAAGCAAAGACAGGATACTCCTATGAGCGATGAGATCATGAGGTAGTTTTCGTATGTTTGTTTTTGGCAAGTCACAGGTAGGTAAGTGTGCTTTTCTGTCCGCTAACACACAGGAACACAAGGAATCTGATCCATTAGCAGTGATAAACATTGTACTAGGAAAGTAACACTTACTGGCTGTATACTGGAAGAAGTCACAGGCTAATGGAATAAATTTAAATTATTCTAATAAGCAACACAAGAGATCACAGATCCCACATAAATCAGAAATACACAGAATGTCTGTGATATGTACAGATCTGTTAAACCTAAGACCTAATACCTACTACATTGAAAGAAAAACTACGGAGCCAAGCAGGCCAGTTTTCCACACCTGGCTGGCAGTACTGCCACGTCAATCGTAACGCACAGCATCACAGGGACATTGGGAGAGAGATTCCTCTCAGGCCTCTGCAGGACCCCACCTGCAGGAGCACAGTGCGGCACCCTCCAACCTAAGGGCTCCCTAGGAGCTGGGTGACTTACGGACGTCCACTCCCGAGGCCTGCACACCCTCCCTTCTCTCTGAAAGAGATCTGCAAAAGGCGGTAAAAGCAGAAATTGTACCGTAGCTACATTCATGCACAGACACTGCCTAAAGTGTGATAACAGTTTAGTGTTAGCCACAATGCAGTCTGGCAGCAACAGGGGGCTGAACAGTTTGTAAACTTGATCCAAAAGTATCTGTTACTGATCAGCTAGAATGCCTTCCAGGAGCATTGCAGGAATACAAGCATACGGTCACAAGCACTGTGAAATTATTTGACAGAATTAGAGTAAAAAAGTTAGCATGGATTTACATTTTTATGACAAAGATCAATTCATACACTTCAAATACGTAAGAAAAACAAGTCTACAAAAAGGGGAAATGTTTCATACTTACAGAATACGTTGATATTCTCAGTTTCACAGCTGTGCTTCTTTGAATGTGTAACTGGAAAGAAATGTATGCCGCAGAACTAACCTGCTATAACGTCTATCGGTCTGCTTCTAACACGGAACAGCACTACATCTGTTACTTGGTGGACAATTCGTGCATCTGCTAAAAGCAATGCTGCTTTGAATTACGTGTGTGCATTCACACAAATACACACTCTAACTGAGGTACTGGGGGAAGAGAATATAGGTGAAGAAATGTTTTCTCTGCTTATCTAGCCTCTAATAAAGCACGGATCTGTTTGTGAGCTGGATCTAGCAACTGGCCTGTAGGAACTGATACTGTCTGTTCCTTAGGAGACACTAGCAACTTGAGTGGTCCACGCTCCCCGAAAAGGCCTCCCACTACGACCTGAACTACTCCATCACGATGGGAAAAGGTAGGACTCAAAAGCATCTACCTTCTGTGAACGCTACCTGATAGGCCTGTACAGGAAGCTGGGGAAGCAGATGCAGAGGACAAGTGTCCCAAAATGAGGATCCAGTCTATATGGCTGACTAGGTTGGATCGCCTTGAGATCCACTAGGTAAGAATCCAATCATGAAGGACAAATAAGGCATTCAAGGTATGATCTGTGTAAACGTGTGTCAGCCTCAAAGTGGATATGACATGGGTTTATAAATGCAAAGGTAAGAGGCAGAAAAAACCCCAAGCATTTACACGTCATCTTTCCACCAACATAACGTTCCAGGTCAGGTCCTCAGAAGGTGCTGATGGAAACCCTTGCATACACAAACACTGCCCACGCTTTGTGATTCACAGGCAAATCTAGGCTAAGTGTGAGAGGGTGAAATTCCATCAAAAACAAATTATTCAAGCCAAACGGTGTTGGTCTGCCACTCATTAGAGTCTAGATTAAGTTAATCCTTGGTGTAATCTACTTTCTAATACAATCGAAGTTAATCTGTACGCATATTCTCCAAATAGATGACCTGATCTTATGTCCCTATGCAGTGTTCTGAGATAGTCTAAATAAAACTTCTGAGCTTCATCCACACAAGGCCTCTAGAGTCATCGGTTTGCAATACGCATAACGAAGAACAGAACTGAACCATCAGGAACCCGGCGTGCTTCTATGTGCAGTTTAGTCTTTTGGATCTGACTTACCATCATCAATTTAACTGAGTTTTGCTTCAGAACTTAAAATACAGACATCAGTTCTTGGCATGTTTCGCGGTGGCTATCCCTGCTTAAACTCAGTGGTTTGCTATTTAAAGAGTCTGGAGTGAGTAATCATGTTATTCCAGAATTCCGTTCCTCAACGTTTCACTTCTCTCCAGAGAAAGCCGCTGAAGATCCTTCCTAATATCAGGATGATCTTCCAGCTCTTCATATAATGATCGAACAATGTCCAGTTTCCTGTAGTCCACCGGTTTGACCAGACTGCGAACAACCTGGAGACATCTCTCTTTCAGGGTGAACACTGAGGTTAAAAACAAACACACAGACACAACCTCGTTACAAGGGCTCTCATTAGCCGCTGCCTCAGCTCTCATTAGCACAGACAGTGCTTCTCCAAGCACGTGATCAGAGAACATAACACGTAGCGGTGTTATTCACAACACACTAAGTTCACTGGAAAGAGAGGAAAAGAACTTGTTGTTTCCTGTCATGAGGCACCCTACGAAGCTCATCAGGGACATCTATAAATGAGAGGTCTGTCAATAGCTCTAATCAATACAGTGCAATGACACAGCTCTATCTAGAAACCCTCACGATCTCTTCCTATTTTTGAGGTAGATTTCATTATTTGAGTACTTGATTTCTCACTAGATCCTTACACTGAAGTCCAAAGAGATCAAGCACAAAATTCATCGGTTTCCACGGCATACGCAGTCCTGCTCTGTTTACCTGGCAGCGTGATGTCTGCTTTAGTCACGTTGGGAGCCGCTATGAACAGCTCCTGCTGGTTGACAAGGAGTCCGTCGTTCGTCCCCGCATCCCGGAACAGCCAGAGGTGACCTGGGAGAAAACAAGGTGACCGCAGCCGTTATGGTGCTTTTTAACGAGCGGTTTTGAGGGGCAACCCGTCAGGAACCGATCTGCTCCCCAGCTGAGCTCCCGTTTAGAGGCCACCGCCGGGGCCCTGGTCGCCTGCACGACTGGGGGATGCCACCGAGTAGGGGGACGGAGAGGAAAGGAAAGCTGTGCGGTCCCCTGGCCTCTGGAGCCGATACGGCCGGGCACGGGAAGCAGGCTCCCCGCCCCCCGCGGGCCGCC